AATGCCACCGCTGGGCGCAAACGATCCATCGCCGACGTCGACGACCCGGAGGAGAACCTACCCGTCGGATCAATCGTCACTCAATCGCCTTCAAAGCCGAAGCCCGAGCCTGTGTACGGCCCGGGGATGACGCTCATCTACCCTGGAGAGCCTGGCTACACCATGGCAGCCGAGTCGCAATCGGGCACCTGGTACGAAGAGAAGGTCGAGAAAGAAGAGAAGGCAGAAGCTGAAGCCCGCCCTATCGCCGTATCGCGCAAGTCAGTCCGCATGAGCCCAACTGCCAATGTCGAAATCACTCCCCTCAACGAGATGGATGCTCAGAAGACCGAAGAGCTCATCGACGACAAAGGCAACACCGTCAATACGCTCATCGCATCTCTCGGAGTAGGCTGGAAGAACGTCATGACCAACCCCAACCTACGCGACGCGGCACGCGCATACTCCCGCGTCATTGAGCGTCATTTCGACTTCACCGACGTCCTGGTGATGTTGGAGAAGGAATCACTCAACGCGTATCTCGTACGCGCTAAGCAACACGGTGTCCAGGGCTACTGGTTATTCTCGGATAACCTTCAGTGGTGCCAGCTCGTTGGCTGGTCATTAGAGCGAACTGTCAGCAACCTCATGTTCGGCTCAACTCCTCGTGTTGAGGGTGAGCGCATCAATGCTCGCCAGTTGACGCCGTCGCCTGCCTCTACACCCGTTTCCCAGCCAGTCGCCGTCGCCCCTATGGCGACTGCCGACACCGACGCGATGGAGATGTGACGCGTTTCAACCCATCTCTTCTCTTCCTTCCTGTTTCCTTACCCCACGAACGGCAACAAAACACGTCTCAGTTATCATTTCGGCTGCATTGATTTACGGTTTTCGATGTGGGTTTCTTCTTCGGCGAATCGGCGTTGATGGTGGAATCGGATGGCTCACCGGAAGTGACTCTATCTGACATGTACTATATTATTATGATGCTTACGCTGCGATGCTTGATCAAGACATTCGATCGCATCTGCCAGTACGTGCCGCTAAACTTAACAGGCAAGAACTCATTGAAACCATGATTATCATTTACATCACCTCCACTTCCTGAAAACTGCTGTTGACGAATTCGCATCCGGTGACTTCCAAGTGGCCACGGACCGGTCCACGGGTCTTCCTTCACGCGCAAGCTGACGTGCTTTACCGATGCCCCGAGGCACGCAATTTCCTTGACTCTATTTTCAGTAGATCTTCGCTCGTTAAACACGATCAAACATGCTGCCGCGGTGACGAACGAGCATTGAGAAGGCACTGCCCCGAGCTCTGCCGCACTACCGCTCCTCAGCAACGCGAACATGTCGCGCGCACGACGCGGCGTCGCGTTTCCCGGCCAGCACCTTTTCCCAGTCTGTTTATCACTCGTGCGGACGGTGCGCCCGAGTCGAGACCGCTGTTCTCGCACCGGCACCGCTGATGGTTATTTACGCCGTCACACCCCCGGATGGTGCTGTTTCACAGGTTGCTGGGCGCTTCTCGGGAAGACTGCTTCCGTTAGTTCCGAGGTGCGCGACACCCGACGAAAACGAACCTTCCTCGCACCCGCGTCGCGTTGCGTCTACGTCTTGGATACGATGACTATGTTCATTGATCTCACTCTCCCACACGCGTGCGATAGTCGTCCATTCACCGTAACCCATACACACGGATTGGCGATATAGTACCGAATTAGCATCCAGACTTTGGCCCCCAATGCGGCGCGGGGCGCCTTGCAGGAGGCTCAGAGTAAGCCTCAACCCATCAGGATGTGCGGCCGGTATACTTGGCAAAAACCAGGCGGCACTGCTGATAGGTGGGCTCGTACCAGCGAGGGTGCGATATCTCGCATGGTACTACGCGCTTCTTTGATCTCTTTTACGTTGTCTACTTGGACCGGATCCAACATTTTTGCTCATGGGCTTCGCAATGCCTGATTCAATTTGGCGGTTATTGCCTTCTAGGATACGCTCAACGATACACCCCGAATGGAGATCCAATAACAATCTCGAGATGCAGGTACCGCTTACAGCCCAAACTGACCGGAATGGAAAACCTCTCGGCAGCTTGCAGCTACCACAAAGCATTCGCGCGAAGGCAGCATCGATACTTGGGTTGCGCAAGCGTGCGGTGGAGAAACATCTAGGGTCTCGCTTCACTGGATGGCGGTTTGGCGTGCTCAACTTCGCGATTTTGGCTTCAGTGGTCTTTCTCATTAACTTCGTGGCCATGGTATCAGGTTTGGCTGCCACCTCTGGCGCCAAGGGTGTCTTCTTCGATGGCGATTGCGATCACGTCAAAAGGCTGAACACCGGGCTCCATCTTGGCATCAACATCTTGAGTACGATCCTGTTGGCTGGGAGCAACTATACAATGCAATGTTTATCTGCACCAACGCGAAGCGAAGTCGATTCTGCCCACAGTCGCAAGCCTAGTGTATACCTCGATGTGGGTGTACCTGGCATACGCAATCTCGGACATATCAGCCGGCGTAGAGCTGTGCTGTGGGCAGCATTGGGACTATCATCCTTGCCGTTGCATCTTTTGTAAGGCATTGACTGATCTTAGCGTTTTAGTTACTTACATCTATCAGTTACAATTCTGCGGTGTTCGGTTCGATATCATCCAACAGTTACTGGGTGTTCTCCGTTGGGCGAGCATTTCTGGACGGAGAAAATTGCACGAATTGCACAGAACAATCCCTGCAGCTCCGTACCAGTTTCATAGGTGGACCAAATAGGCAGACCAGGCTCAGTGCCAGTCCTGGCGAAATCCCATCCGTACTTGAATCCCTCTGGGAGAAAGCACGCGCGGGCAACCTTGAAAAGCTTGAGCCCAACAGATGCATTGACGAATATGCCACTAGCATACAATCCAACCATCGAAATCTGCTTTTAGTGTCCGACGATAGCTTCTTTCCTCCATCAACGGAGAACAAGTTTATCAATGGCTCACACATTTATTGGGGTGCGGGTTTTGATGCATACACTGCGTCGGATTCCGGGTTTGCTAGCAATGCATACCACTGGATATGTCCCGCGTCGCACGACCTACTCAATCCATGTTCAGTCAGGGTACAGGATGTCAAGAAGCAAGAATCTTGGCAGGTTGGATGGCTTTGCGACGATGAAGGGCTTTGCGACCTGTCACGTACGCCAGTGGAGTACTGTCTAAGTGAGCCGGCTCAAACCCACTGCAAGCTCCACTTCGAGCCTACTATTACGACTGTCATTACGATTCTCAATCTCTGTGAGTTCAGATCTCGTTCTCTACGCCTATACAGACGCAGCAGCGTAAGGGACACGCTCGTCGATCAACCGTTCGAGATCGAATCAACTCTAACTCTTCTACAGTCAAAGCATGTCTAATGTTCTATGTTGTATTTTTTGTGCACGACGAGCCGCTTATGACAACGGGTGACGCCGTCGTCTCGTTTCTGGAAAACGAAGACGTTACAACGAAGGACATGTGTTTGTCTACACTAGCAGACTTTCGACACCACAGAGGATATCAGGCGGGACCAAGACAATGGCGGGACGGGCGTTATCACTGGAAAGATGTGACCAGCATCACCCGCAGAATTGTTGTTGTAGCTGTGTAGGTTACGCCGCTAAACCAAATATATCGTTGGTAGTTTGCTTACATTACCGATCAGGTTTTTACTTGCCCTAGCTATAGTCGGTTTCCTACTTAAGATGGGAATCGAACATCTACCCACGGGGGCTACCTTTGATCAATTTTCATTTGGTATGTATGATTTGTTTGTCATGTGAAATTAAGCACGGTGCTGATTGCCTTTAGGCGCTGTGGATCCTCGTACAGCCATCAGTTATATGCCACCGGATTTGATTACCAACGTTGTCATCGCCAACACGCCCCAACTAGCTCTCTCGTTTCTGTACTTCAGCTATAATGCTCTCTTTACCGCCATGCTGATGGGCTACGAATGGGTGTCTTATTCAAGCAAGCGTAAAGGCCTTCGCGTAACTCATCAACCTGCCGGTGCTCAACGGTCGACATACTTCCTCCAGCTACCCTATCGCTTCGGTATACCTCTCATGGTGCTGAGTGGCACATTACACTGGCTGGTTTCGCAAAGCATCTTCCTGATCGCCATCGACTTTTACGACCCATTTGGGAAACCGGGCGTTGAGGATAATGCAGCGGACATGCTTTTCGATTACAAGACTCTGGGCTACTCGCCGCCGGCCATCATATCAGTGATAGTGTTGAGTGGACTAATGGTCATCAGCATAGTTGCTTTCGGGTACACACCATACAAGCGTGGAATGCCAATTGTGGGCAGCTGCAGTATGGCCATCAGCGCAGCGTGTCACCCGACAGAACAGGTTGGCAGTGGTGAGAACATTGCCGAGAAGAAACTGCAGTGGGGCGTTGTCAGTACTGGTACTGATGGACTGGGCCATTGCGCTTTCTCGGCAGAAGATGTGGGAGCAGTCGTTGAAGGCAAGATGTACGGTGGGCATTCGCTGTAGATGACAAGGGCAATGCTTTAACAATTGTGAGGCATGTCCATGGCTACGGGAATTTGCGCTGAATTGCTTGCGTACCGAAGCAATGCAGTCATGCGTAAGAAGTAGCATCTTATGACCAGAGCAAGGCGCTGGCAAAAATGGAAGGAACAAGCCTGAAAGGAAATGTTTACGTAGGACGAGCCATGCCCATTGGCTGATCCTTCCCCCGCACAGCACAGTACATTCGTGCCGACATAGACGCCTGGAACTGCACCTATCAAGTTATCTGAACAAAGCAACCCAGGTGACTCGCCTCCAATCGCATGTGCAAGGTGCTGTGCAGGGGTGATCCAACACGTGCAGTGGTCTGGCAATATACGTTCGCCACCACGGCTGCCTGGCGATGATGTCGACAGAGAACAACAATGCTAAATCTATAGAAGGGCCCGATGCGCAGCTCGCCTTTACCTCACGGCTACACATGAGAGCTCCGCAGTAAATTACAAAGAAGTCAACATGCCATTATGCGATCTTTGCCAGTCGTTGGACGTCCTCGACATCCCTAAGCTACCACCCGATTACAAAATCCATACTGTCACTCGACGCGACTACCCATGCCTAGTCCAAATCAGTAGCCAACCTCTCAGGGACCTCTGGAAGAACAAGCAAGACCGTCCAAAGGATCAAGAACCCATTGGCATACCCTTCCACCAATCTATCGAAGACCTCGAAGACGCCGCTGCCGATGACTGCGCAATTTGCAAGACCGTACAGCGCGATGTCGCGCAGTTTCAGTCCGACTTCAGTGGGGCGAAGAAGGAACCTGGGATTCGTGCCGAGCGTGGCGGAGGACCGGATTGGAAGATGTGTCTGGTTAGGGGTGTGAATGATACCGGAGGTTTCATGGTGGTGTCGGTCGATGCAAAGTATTGGTTTCAGGTTTGGGTGGTTGCTGCTGTGGGATTATGTGCTGATTGTAAGTATCAAAGAGATTTGGTAAAGCTGTTGCTTCGACTAACAGCGTTGTAGACGGCGATCCGTTGGCCGCTGTCGTTCGAGGTCGCAAGACACTCTCTTCGTCTCCGCATACACTTGCACATGCCCTGAACTGGGTACGCGATTGCGACAAACAACGGACGGATCGGCGCTGTCATGTCGATACGGCACCTCTTCCAGCTCGTGTCTTGGATATACGAGACTCGACGCCGCACAGAGTAGCTCTTTATGAGCCCACCGAAGGAGAGCTAGGACGGTATTCAGCACTGAGTTATGTCTGGGGCGAGTCAAGCCCGTTCGCAACCACACGTGCCAATATCGAAGCCAACAAGAGAGGTATCGATACCGACCATCTCCCAAAGACGTTTCAGGACGCCATCCTCATAGCCAGAGAAATGGGAATCGGATATCTATGGATCGACTCCCTCTGGTAAGCCAACACTCCCCATCCTACTCAGAACACCAAACGCTAATAACCCCAGTATCTGCCAAGACGACTCAGAAGACTGGTCGCGCGAAACATCGCGCATGGCCTCCGTCTACTCAAACGCATACATCATGCTCTCCGCAACCGGTTCTCCCTCCTCTACATCTGGGCTATCCATCTTCTCACCCAACCGCCCCGCACCCAACTACTCCCCTTTCGAATACACAACCAAAGACGGTATCAAAGGAACTCTCCACGCCTTCTCCTCCTCTCGCGAAACAGCCGCAAAGCCCTCCTGGGCCGGAAACAACGCAATGCTAAAGACCGAGCCACTCAGCCAACGCGGCTGGGCGTTACAAGAACGCTGGCTCGCACCGCGTGTGCTACATTTCGGCACGGAGCAGATATTCTTCGAGTGCTACTGTTCTTTCCTGAGCGAGCACGGTTTCTACCTACCAGGGCGAGTGGATACTCTTTTCCCAACTACTTCCCGTACATTCCCATCGCACACCCACCCTTCCTCCCCGGATAAACCTATCCCAGATAAAGACAACCCCACGCTACATTGGCACGCAGTCCTAGACGCCTACTCCCGCCGTTCTCTAACCAAACCTTCGGATAAACTGGTTGCCCTCTCTGGCCTCGCACGCACCTACGCTTCCTTGCTCCCTTCTCCTACCACCTACCTCGCGGGGCACTGGTCCCCGACCTTACTCCATGACCTAATCTGGCAAGCCGTCGGCACGACAACCTCACCAGCAGTATACCGCGCACCGAGCTGGTCCTGGGCCGCCATCGACGGGCCGTTCGGCCTCTTCAGCCCGAATTCAGGTGTGGGGTGGGACAAGGGGGACTGGACCGCTTTAGCCAAGATCCACGCTACGAGTATTACGTTGAAGAGCGCCCACAATCCTTTCGGCGAGGTAACGGACGGGTACATAGACATCAGCGCGCCGCTGGAACGCTTGTACCCTGCGGCCGAACAGAGAGAAGGAGATGGCGATGTGTTTCCCAATCGGCAGAAGGGTGCTGTGGCTCAGACGAAGCGGGTATTAGAGGGGGACATGGAGACTACGTATACTTGTTTCGACACGCAGAATCATACGGAGAGGGCGAGGGGGAGGGAGTTGTGGGCTGCGATACTGTGGAAGCATGTAAGGCCTGCGGAGATGGAGAGAGAGGCAAGTTATCATGCGATTATTGTGGCGAGAGTGGAGGGGAGAGAGGGCAACGTGTATGAGAGGTTGGGTAAAGTTCCTTTTTCAGCGAAGGACTTGGGGGTGTGTGAGTGGATGGATGATGGGGGGTTGGTGGAGAGGTTTACTTTGGTGTGAGTGGACTATGTACCTTGCGTATCATTTTTAATTGGCGAATCTCCCTGCCCGTCGCGCAAATACGATCAGATTCGGCCATGCATCTCTTATATCCTTGTCCCACCATTGCTTTGGGCAGACACGTTCCAGCATCTCCAGATCGCTTTCTTCGTAGGGTGTGATGTACTCTTCCCAATCGTCTTCTTTGATCTCATCACACGACCTGGCTAGGTTGTGTAATGTGAGCATGGCGATCAATCTGCCAATGCGCTCAAGAATGTGTTCTTCTGCGGTTTTAGGCTGGTTGCTTGACGTTCCTTGGTCGTAAACATCGCCGTCTTCTTCCAAGGGCCTGATTATGATTTCCCGAGCTAAAGAGATCTCAGTCAACGTGGGTGAGCTGTTCACGGCGTAAGGGAGGATGGCGGGGGAGGGGGCTGTATCATCGATGTATGCTGCTTGCTCTTCGGGGGTGGAGAAGGCGTGGTAGCGTGGGATTCTGTGTTCTGGGGCTAGGCGGTTTCGCAGATTGCGCATGGTGCGTCGAGAGGAGGCAGACATGGAAGCAAGATGTTTGGTACTTTTGGCAGTAGCAAAAAAAAACAGAAGTAGAAGTTGAACGAGTGACGAGCAAAGCGAAAGAAAGATGCGATACTATGATGGTGCTGTTCGAGTATTCAATTATGTGCGATGGCTGTTTGTATGCGCTTCACTATATTTTACTTGACATAGGCCCATCGTCCGTGGCCAAAATGTCACATAACCAGTCCGCTGCTTTGTCTGCCATTGGCTTTGGAAAAGCGTGTTCTACGCCCTCGAATAACACGTCTTCGAAGATAATGTCAAGACTTGGGTCTTCTGCTAGTACCTGTTTGAAGATGTTGTAGAACGGCTCACCAGCCGAGTAGGGAACAAGCTTATCTGCCTGTCCACTGAGGTTCAAGATGCGCTTGCCTTGAAGTCTCTCCTTCATCAGGGCCTTCATTCTAGATAGTTGCTCTTGATCGGGCTGGGTGTCGTTTCCTAGAGGATTGAACATGCCCGGTAGCAGTAGACCGGCAGGATCATACTGGGCGATGGCGTCCTGCAGCGCTTGTGGGAAGTCGGGGGATCCGAGGAATGCGCTTCCAGGTGGTGTTGTTTCCGTGTATGTCTTTCTCTTGGATAGGCGTGCGCGGTCAGTCAGCAAGCGCGTGTAGTCTGGACAGCCGATGCCGACTACGCCAGCGGTGATGCGGGGGTCACCTAGCAAGCAGTGCCATGTCGCGTGTCCACCCAACGAGATTCCAAGGACAAAGTGCTGTTCGATCTTGGGACTATCCTTGGCGGTGAAGATGTAGGATTCGAGATGGTTGATGAGCTGAGAGGTGTCGGTCGCGGTACCGTGGAAGCATCCAAACATGTCTTGGGCATGTGTCTCGTTTCCCTCCCTCCAGGCTTGATTGTGCAAATCGTCCACCTTGCGCGATCCATGATTACGTTGGTCGAATGCAGCAGCGATTAAACCCTTAGGGTTCTTGCCGGCCCGGCCGTCTTGTATGCGCTTGTTCCACGTGGAGATGACGCGTCTGGCTATGGGAGCCATGGTCTCTTTCGTCTGCAGTCGCGGGTTGAGAAGCCATAGGCAGGCGACTGACGATGGGGAAGGAGGGAGTTGGTCGAGGCCATGGACGTCGACGAGGATGCCGGCGATTGTGATGGTGCGGGAGGAGACGGGGAGGTCGGACGAGTTCTGGGTTCCGTGGAGGGGGTTCGTGGTCGCTGCCATGTTGGCTGATGGGGCCTAAGAATAGTGAGGATAGCGATATAGGGTTGAGCGATTAGCAGGTCTAGAGAAAAGAATATGGAGCTATTCGTCTGGTCTATCTTGGAACATGGGCATGCGGAGGGGCAGGGGATCGCCGACCGAGGCTGCCGTCGACGGCAGAACTACATCATCGTATGACAAGCTTCACAGGCGGCACTGGGCGATGTGCTGGCCATGGCATATGGATGCATGGCGCGATTATACAGCGGTACAAGGGGTCTTTCCATTGTGCACACGTGTGGTGAGTTCGGTATGCTTCCAAGGTTGTACTGATTGGGAGTACAGTGCGGGGTGCAGCCACGCCGCAGAGAGACGGCGGCGACATCATCGAGTCTCTTCCGCAGAGAAGCGGGCGTTGCACGTGAATGCGATGTCACGAACGTGACGAAAGCGATATTTGACGCGTTCTGCAGGGCGCTGCATCGTACATATCTGTGGTGTGGAGCATCGACGCGCTGCAGGCGGTCAGCCAGGCGGAGAGGGCCCCTGACGCCAAAACCTTGGAAGTATTAGCGCAACCAGACAGTTCACGCCCGGGGAAAGCACCTGGGAGATTACTCGAACCGCGCAGGGACCCAGCACGACGTACACTGATCACCTGCGCCGCGTGTCTCTTTCTCTCGCCTGTCCATGACATAGACCTGTCACTGCGAGTATACTGCCACTCCACCTCGGGCAGCATCCCATCAATCCATCGTGACGAGTGACGGCAGCAGCAGGTTTCCTGGCTACCATGGCTGTATAACGCCCTAGAAGCCGAGCAACCACACCCCCACGCGACCTCGCCGTGAGAAGACATCCACCGACACTTCCTGCCTCTTCCGTGTCGTTACCATGGTTGGCTCCAGCAAGACCGGGGGCTCGCCCACGACGCGCAGCCCTCGCTCGCGATCACCTGCAGTATCAGGAAGGACAGACGAGTCCGGCCGACTGCTATCGCCGCTTAGCCTGGGACAGCCCAGGAATGAGACGCAAGACATACACAACCCCTCGCCCTCGGACGGCGCCCCCAAGATCATGCGCTCTGCCCCGACTGGCTCGCCCATCTCCAGCAAGGAAGCCGGCGAATTCCCTTTCCACGCCCCAGCGAACGCCAACGGGGGTAGCATCCCCGTGCCCGTCGAAGCCGCTGAAGCACCTCTCCGCGCCCCGAAGCCGTCCTCGCACATGTCCAATGGGTCCACCAGCTCCTACTACCCGCCCTTTGCGCCCATGTCTCGACACCCTACCGAGGGCGAACTCTCTGACGCACCCCGAGAGCGCAAGAGCGTCCAGTTCGCTCGCTCCGCTACATTCACATCCGATCCGCCCGCCGCCAACTCGCGCCAGCAGTCATGGGAGGTCGAAGACGGCGAAGGAAAGGGCAAGGAGCGGAGTGGCCAGAGCTCGTCGCTCATGGGCAAGCTGAGGGCACTGGCAGCACCGATGCAGGGACACGGCAGGAGCCTGAGTGCACTGGGAGGAAGCTCAGGCCATGAAGGCTCACCCCATGGCCAGCTTTCGCCCACATCCGAGCACGACGAGCCGCGATTCGAGGGACACGACAGCGAGGCCGATGCTGATGGCGAGTCTAGCGCTGGCGAGGGTGCTTCAAGAAGACCGAGACAAAAGAGGCGGAAGAGCAGCCGCCGTTGGTTCGACGGCGAGGGCGAAGGCACCCAGACGGCCCCTACCACGCCCAAGCAGACAACAGGCGGCTTCTTCTCGCGTGACTCACCCACGATGACGCCCACCTCGACCCGCCCGGGCTTCCTACGCCGCTCCACTATGGATGACATACCCGAGAATGAGCGTCAGGGTTACTCAGAGGATGAGGGCCGCTCGCGCATCGCAAAGGAGAGCGCATGGACACGCGGATTGCACAGTGCGAGGGGACTTTCGTATGGAGGTCTGCGAAGGCACGACCCCAACGGCGAGGAAGAGGGTCACCAGAATCGTCCTACCGGCAACCTGCGAAGCTTGACTACTTTCAGAGGTGCGGCGGGAGACACACAGCCCTCACCATGGCGGATGCGTAGCGAGCGGACGTCAAGTTTGAGTGCGCAGAAGTGGAAGTCCATCAAGAACAGCCTCAAGCTGCTCGGCAACCGACAAAAGGCCGAACGCCAAATCGACCACGCAAAGTCGGCCGAGCTGATGGCTGAACTGCTTGCTGGTGCACCGGCAGCCTTGTTCTTTGCCAGCATGTTCCAACGCGATGAGCACGGCCACAGGCGTATTCCCGTCCTTCTCGAGCAGCTCAAGGTTACCATCACCGACACAGACCGCCCCGCAAAGAAGGAGGGCGATCGGCATACTGCTTTGCGCATAGAGCTGGAATACGGCAGTGGTCTGACCAGGATGAAGTGGGTTGTCTACAGAAGTGTCGCCGATTTTGCCAATTTGCATCTCAAGTTCAAAGTTCAGGAGAAGCAAGACGCTTTCCGCAGTCGCCCGGCTAACCGTATGCGAGAACTGAAGGACAAGACATCCAAAGACGGCGAAGCCGAGAAGGAAGAAGAGAAAGAAGATCCACGCACAAAACTCCCACGCTTCCCCAGAAGTGTATTGCCCTATCTCCGAGGTCTTCGAGGCTACGGCATCCTTGATGACGAAGGTGAGGAAGAGGAGGAAGAGGCTGCAGCAGGAGCCAGCGGACCAGACGGCGATGCAAGCGCTACCGAACGCCCCAACAGACCCAAGCGAGGCAAATCCTCATTCTTAGGTCGCAGACAGTCAAGCGTGAGTGGTTCTCAAGCTCAGGGTGCTGTCGGTGCCCTTGTAGCGAGACAGGGCAGTTTTGCTGGCGCCGCCGGTCAGCCCCTACAGGCGAAACAGAATCATCATGAACGCCAACGGAAGAAGTTGGAACAATATCTGCGAGGTCTCATGACCTACCTCATTTTCCGTCCTGACAGCAACCGCCTGTGTAAGTTCCTCGAGCTGTCAGCTCTGGGTGTCCGCCTAGCGGCTGAGGGCGGCTACCATGGCAAGGAAGGCTACATGATGATCAAATCCTCCAAAGGCGTTGACAACAGGAAGGGCTGGACGAAACTAGCCATGATGAATCGTCACTGGCCCAAGTGGTTCCTAGTAAGACACAGCTATGTCGTTTGTGTAGACTCGCCAGAGGAGATGAATGTCTACGATGTCTTCTTGGTCGATGCCGACTTCCATCTCGATACCAAATCTGCCAGAATACGAGATAAGAAAGCTAGAGATCTTGCAAGCGAAGCAAAGGCGTCTGCAACAGGTCATCACCAGCTCAAGCTCGTTAATGCGGAACGCAAGATGAAGCTACTTGCTCGTAATGAGCGGATGCTGCATCAGTTCGAGGAATCCATCAACTTCATGTCACAGAACACATTGTGGTCTCAACGCCAGCGGTTCGACAGCTTCGCTCCAGTGCGCAAGAAGATCTACGCCCAATGGCTTGTAGACGGTCGCGACTACATGTGGAATGTATCCCGAGCTATCAGTATGGCGCGCGACGTCATCTACATTCACGACTGGTGGCTCAGCCCAGAGCTTTACTTGCGTCGCCCAGCTGCCATCAGTCAGAAGTGGAGACTTGACAGACTCCTCCAACGCAAAGCACAGGAAGGTGTCAAGATCTTTGTGATTATGTATCGCAACATCGGTGCTGCTATTCCTATTGACTCTGAGTACTCCAAGTTCTCTCTGCTAGATCTCCATCCAAACATCTTCGTCCAACGATCGCCGAACCAGATCCGCCAGAACACATTCTTCT